GAATTGATGGAGAATAGCTGTGGTAATACTCTGACTGTAATGGTCTCCTTCAGCTCAGGCAGGGTGTGCCCCTCCCTGAATCTACATAATGACAGTGATGAGTTTTAAGGGATGCCATGTATACTTGTTGCCACTAGACCAAATTATATACTTAGGCTTGCTCCCATATGGTGTTTTTCCCTCAGGAGGATATCTCTCTTTTGTGATACTCTTGCCAGAGCTCCAGTAATGACCACGCAGTTCAGTCATTTCTTTCCCCAATAAACACAGCAATGCCTATCTGGATGCTGCAGAATTCAGGCATAATATCCTCACACTTGCTTTAGCCTCCTTAGTTTGGGTGACAGAGTGGAGCTGCAGTAGTGTTAGAGACCCCAGTTAGAGGTGAAGTCTTGGCCCAGGTGTTGTAGCAGACAGGTATTGAATTGCTTCTGTAATGGCTACGGGGCTGACAGGTGTGGGCTCACTGACCTAAGCATGTCAGGAACTGATCCATCCCCAAAGCAGCAAAGGAGGAATAGTACAGAACGATCTCATTTTTCAACAGTCTAAATACACACTCCCCTTTTTCTTGTAAAATCAGTATAATAACGTTCTTCTGAGGGTTGCTAGCAGAAAATAATTATTGCAAAACTAGGAGGGTCTCTGAGCACCACTGCTGGTATGACACCTATAGTTATCCAGACTTCATAGTAATGAGTCAGTCTTTCATGCACTATTGCACACATGTTCTGCTGTCTGTGACAGACATAAGCATTTGTAATACTGCCCAAGTCATAAAATCACAGACTGCTTTTCTTGTTTTCTTCAAAATTCACATAGGGGAACCATGGAGAGGATGGAATGCATGTGCATTAACGATAAAGAGCAAGACAGATTTGACTGTAACGCATACTTGTTTTCCTGCTCCATTATACCCACAGCTCCAAGAAATACAGTCAAGCCCTTTGCCCATCCACAGTCAGTTTGTTCTCCTCTCCCCTCCTTCCTCAACAACACAACACACCCCCTTCCTCACACGGATGCTGGTCACGACTGGGTCAAACAAATCAGTGATTTCACTTGGCAGTAGATCTAAAATTCAGTGTGTGGTCTCTTCTAGGGCCACAGGAGACTGTCGGCTGTGAGGGCACGTGTGAGCACAGCACACTGGTTAGCCCCTAAGCCTTCCTGTCACCAGCTGCCTCACAGACAGCCTGCAGAGACTGTGCAAGCCTGACACAGTCAGAGGCACACTGACCGGCTGGGCATGCCTAAGGACACAGGACCTTGGGTGCTGTAGGCTGCAGTCTAGCTCAGTCTGAGGCCATGCTTACAGGTTTACTTCTGCTACGTGAGGTGAATCTGACCTTGCTGGTAGAGTGGAAGCTGCCATTAGCAGGCAATACAGACACATGCTCTTTTTTTCTCCACAGGCTCATATGTTCTCACAAAGCTATGGGGAAATAAAGTGGCTCACGTGCAGCTGTGCTCAACAGAGCCACCTCTGAAACAGTCCTGCCCCTGCACAGAGAGCTCTGTGTGGATGCTATCCGAATCAATCCAGCTACTAGGGGACAGATGGACTCACATAATTTTACCTTGTACTCCTCTCTACTGCCTGCCTGTCTCTCAGTCCCACTCTCTGGGGAAAGCCACGTTTATTTACATTTCATTCATTTTTCAGAAATGTTTTGTACGAATTACTGTTTGCTTCGACATAAAAACACTATCAAGCTTCCCATTCTGTTCACATAACAGCCTACCCATTCGGGGAGCAAGAAGCAGCTTTCCAAATGCACCAACAGGAGTGAGGTGCCCAAGTCTTTTTAAACAGGGAGTTTAAGAGGGAGTTGGTCTCTTTACATTTACATCTCCACTGACGACCCGAGGAGCTAGTATAGGGGTCAGCTGGAGATGACAGAAGAATAGCCTTTAACACGCAGGGTACTGGACTGTTTGATTCTCCTATTCCACAATAATTTTCACAGTGGGAATCTGAGAGTAAATGATATTTACTTACAGAGATGATATGTCCTTTCAAGCCATGTGCTGAGTCTGCACACTCAATCACAGCACTTAGCTGTGGATAGCCCACCCCCGTCTTAATCCGAGTGGTACACACAGAACCTAGAAAAAAGGATGAGAGGAAAAAACATAGCCCATTAGGCTGACAGAAAAGATACAGATTGTTTTCTTTTTCTTGTGGAAAAAAATGTGTTTCTATCTGTATTATTTTTTCCCCTCAAGAAGTCTCTGTTGCCAATGTTGGCTTCTCATGGATAAAAGGCACACATAGGAACTTGAGTTTTGAAATGCTATCACAGCACTTCATGGGAGCTGTGACGGAGGTGACTAATATCCCCCCTTTTCTTCTCCAGGGCCACAATTCCCAGTTTAGGTCTCATCAGTAATGCTTCCCAGTGAAGGAACTACTGGATCATGAGAAAGTAAATCTGACTGAGGTGCCTGAAGGGAAGGGGGACAAAAGGACCAGAGTCACAACTCATGAGACTCAGCAGCAGCATTTAATATGTGAATACTTCTTCCAATAAATATTTCTCTCTTTCCTACATATATTTTTAAAAATCATTCTCAAGGAAAATCTGTGCTTTTATTTTCTTTTTTTTGTGGCCCTTTTCCACAAGGGATAAAACCCCATCTTTTACCTAATAGTTAAAGCAGAAATATTTGGTTGACCGCAATAGTTGGGAATATGAGAAAATCAGCACACAGCATTTAAAAAGTGAGGTAAGTAATCATTAGAAAGCTGTATAGTGTAATATGATAGGAAATATACTAATTATATCTGATTATTAAACTATATTATTTATACATGGTGTATGTATATACGTATATGTAAAAATAAAGGGAGAGATAGATATATAGAGAGAGAGATATATATATGAAAAACCCACTTCAATGATAGCTCAACATGGTAACATGGCTACAGATCTTCTGGAATACCTCCTCTGTTTTTCTCCTCAAATTAAGAGTCAAAATGAGGACCGCTTTTTGCCAGCCCAGGTCTTCCAGGTCTTATAATTTAGGATACAGACCATAAAGGTCTTCATCATCACAAGAATTTCAAAACAGATTCTAAACCAAATGCAGTGAAATCTAGATCCTTTCACCCAGCTGATATCCAGGCATACTCGACGTACCAGTAAAGTAAAAGTTTCCAAAGAACTGACAAGGTGAAAACACTGAGAAATATTTCTGCAAAGTAGGAAGAAAATTAGTTTTAAAATAATCTCCACAGGGTATGTACTTATATATGCAATATTTTATAATGAATCACTGCATTTTCCACAAGATGGACTATCATCTGGAAAACAGCCTCAAGATCTGATCTGTGAGCAACATGTTACTTGTGGGTTTGGGTGGTCAACTCGTACAGATCTGTTCAGGAAGATCTTCAGGAAGGGCTACACAGTATTTACTCCTTTTTCCACTTCGAGGCTACAAACTGCAGTAATTCCTCTTTTATATCTGAACTTGCATGTGACAATTGCACTATGACATCTCTGTTGTTTATTCTTCAATTATTTTGCAGTATTTATTGTCGTTTGCTCTCTTCCTGGGCCAACTGCAACCTTTATTACATCATTTGTTCTGCTCAAATTATCCATTCATGGACCATAACTATTTGGCATTGTACAGTAAACAATCTGCCTGCACTGCACTGGCCGATTACAGCTATATTGTCAGTGGCACTGGTGTTAGCCAGTTTAAAATCTACCCAGTATGGTGATGCCAGCTGCAATCTAGGAAGAAAAATCACAAGAGGAAGGAGCACATGAAGACATGCACAAGGGAGGGAAAGAAAAAAGGGAAGACAATATGGCAGTATAAGCCAAACAACAAATTAGAGAAGGGAAGGTAGGAAAAACACTGTAAAAAGTTTAGGGTCCTCCCATTTATCAATGGGAATATTACAGTGGTAGGTAACGTAAGTGTATCACTCTAAGTTTTAGCTCCCAGGCAATAGGAACAGGTAGAGTCAATGTTAACCACACTTAATCAATATCATTTCATCTTTGAAGACACTGACAAAATGGGCATCCTCAGCTTAACAGAACACAAATCGTAAGGCTATTTAGAAACCTATCTTTCCTTGACACAAGCGAATACCTGAACACAGTATCCTTTGAACTTTAGCTGGGATGACTCAGCCTCTTTTCAACAGGCTAGAAAAAGTGTCCCTAAACACAACACATCTTATCAGTGATAATGTCAGCAACTCAGTGCTTCCAATAACAGACATCTTCACTGCCAGAAGATGTAACACTTCGCAGTACAAAACACTAGCACCCTGCCCATGTATTTCTTAAATACACTATGTGCAAGGGCACTGTTACTTTATTGACCTGAGTGGGTCTAGGCATCCTAATGGGCCAGCAAACAGCATTATACACTGGTTCCAGCTGGACAAATCCTCCACCAATGTTACCCTAAGTCACCCGTATTTGACTGGATTTGACTTACCTGGTCCGATACCCACTTTAATAATATCTGCTCCAGAAAGAATAAGTTCTTCTACCATCTCTCCTGTCACCACATTGCCTGCCTAGACAGAAGGAACAGTATCACATACATGGGAGATTTCAAGACTACTGTAGCAAAGACTAATGACAATAAGACAGAGTTTTATCTACAGCTTTTATGAGTTGAACTATGTAGTGTCAGGAAGAATATAGTTCACTATATTGTTCACTGTGCATGCCACAGAGATTAAACAAATCATACAGGTATACTCTCAAACGAATTTCATGATTGGTCCAGTAAACTCTAATCCTTAAAATCCCATCAGTATATCTGCTTTGTCTTCCATCTCCCTAATCCTCACCCAGAGGCTCTCAACCACATCATCCCCAACCATTAAGGGCTATACAGTCAAACTTCTCCCTTACATACAGTGCAACTCCTCCACCTCTCCTGCCCTGCCTATCCCTCCTGAACAGCCTATAGCACTCCAACCCATTGCCTACCTCACTTTGTGGGAAGATGTTCAGGTCTTATTTGAAACACTGGCTAATCTCCTTCTCCTTTAGGATTTAGTATTTTGAGTACTGAAAGAGTAAGGAAGGTACTATTCTTGTCATTTTGTACGTTGGTGCCAAAACTGGTATGTACATTCAGACTATGTAAATAAGGGCACTTACACCACATACATTCATTTGGCGGTGGTGATGCCAGAGGTGAAGGAAAGGGATTTGGCTCCCTCTATATGAACTTTGCAGAGATGTAAAGAGCTTGCTGTTTATGTTGACATCTTCTTGGAAAGAAGTCCTGAATTATTTTGTGTTCTTTACCGTATTTTTCCTCGCACTTCAATAGCTTTTTTCCTCCTTTGGCATACATCCTTGATACCTTTCTCAAAAGTGATGGCAGCCCTCAGCCTTTGTCTTGCTCCTTATAGTCATCTTCTTCTGTAGGCACTCCATGACCCTAACCGGCTGCTCAGTCTTTGCCTGCCTTTGCCCCAGGCTGAATTTCTCTTTCTTGAATGTAAGGAATGAGAATTGTCCACAGTGGTACAGGTGAGTTCTCAACACGGCTTTGCACAATGCTTGCCTTCCCTATGGAAATACCTTGCTTGACACACAAGCATGCATTTGCCTGTATCTCACTGGTGGCTCACAGTCACTCTGTGACCTACTCGTGCTTCCAGGAACACCGAATATTTGCCTACTCCCACGTCTACAAACCAGAGCAGAAAGTCATGGCACTTCTGGAGAAGGAAGCCTACATATCTTGAACAATGCTTTTTTTCAGTCTAATTCAAAAGAACTGACCATGAACTTCACCGTTTCATACATTTGATGACATCAAAGCATGAAGGGTGGAGCATGAGAGACGTGTTAAGGAGGCTTTCACCCATGAGTAGCCTGTTGGAGTCCAGCTCCACGCAGTCATGACCAGCAGATCCAGCCCTCCACCAGCCAGGTGAGAACAGATGCACTGTGTGGGTGGGCTCTCTAAAAAGCAACTGCCTCACTTTAAGAGTCCCTATTCACCTGTAAGACATCTGCAAAGAAGGACTGAAGATTTTGCTTTATATATGTCCACCTGAAACCACCTAAGAACGTCAGTGTGATGAATTACTGATGACGTTATTCAAATACAAAGGAACTTTTTTTTAATTAATAAAATAAACTATGAAAAATAATCTTCTAGCACACACATGTTAATTAGTTTGCAAAACTGGTGGAATGAGCGCAGAAAGCTGACAGACTATGTCTATTCAGCTGAAGAATTTCAATATTTTGATGCAAACTCAGTGTGACGAGACAGGCCCTTACATGTGCCTAAATGTGGATCTGGTGGACCAACAGGCAGAGTGAGGCTACAGATGAATTCCCTTGCCAGGAGTGCCCCCTGTCCAGAGGGCTTTTAGAAAAAAGACAGTCTTTAAGGACTTCAAATGACATGGGGTTTATGACGTAAAACCTATGCTTTGAGTTACACTTGAAAACAAACTGTTAGCCAGTGCATCTATAGACCATGTTTTCCTCTCTGCAAAGGGCTGCTGAAGGCAAATGAATGGTGACATAGCACATCCTGAGACAATTTCCTACAACTGTACTAACTGCATTCCCATACTGTGGAGGAACACACTAATGGAATGCAATCCCATAAATTGTGTCATGCAATTTAAAAGTGATGTTAAGGTCCCTGAATGTAACCAGAGGAGGGTAGAAAAGCTGGTGAAGGGGCTGGAAGGCACGTCCTCTGAGGACACTGGATTTGACCAGTTTGGAGAGAAGGAGACTGAGGGGTTACCTCATTACTCTCTACAGCTTCCTGAGGAAGGGACATGCAGAGGGAGGTGCTGATCTTTACTCCCTGGGATCCAGTGACAGGATGCCTGGGAATGACTCAAAGCTGTGTCCGTCAGAGAAGGTTCAGACTTAACATGAGTAAACATTTCTTTACCGAGAGGGTGGTCAAACCCTGAAACAGGCTTCCTAGAGAGGTGATTAATGCCCCATGCCTGTCAGCGTTTTAGGCATTTGGACAATGCCCTTAATACCATGCTTTATCCTTTGGTCAGCCCTGAAGCAGTCAGGCAGTTGGACTAGATGATCATTTTAGGTCCCTTCCAATTCAACTATTCCCTTCTCTTCTAAATAATTCTCAGAAACGGTAAAGTCACAAATGAGCTGTGAAAGTGGCTGAAGTGCGTTTTTTATCCCGTATAAACACGTCCAAGTGATGTGTTTAATAGAGGAGCTGCACAGCTTGGTTCCAGTGGGACAAGGGGTTTCGACAGTAATAGCAGCAATGGGCTATTTTCACAGTTTGAAGGAGTCATTGTTTGCCTCACTGTGCTTTGGGCAAGGATCCAAATGTTCTAGGTCTGAAAATGATCAGCCTTTCCACCACACCAGCATAACCTCTGCTCAATTGTTTTTCAAAGCCTGTCTTATTTCCATGGCGGTCTATTGGCACCATCCATCCCAACCTCCGGCTCCGGTTACACTTTGGCTTTTCTCCAGGCTGCATCTGCTGAAATCATCCCCACTCACCCTCCTGGAAAAGGGTTTGTATCCAGCCAGATCAAGTCTCTGGTCCTCCTTACTATGTGGCCTCATGGACATTAGCTCTGGCACAGAGAGGGGACAGCTAATACAGGTGGTCTCTGCGCTGCAGGGTTGGTTTCTGCCATGGCCTGAGAGAACAGTGACCAGCACTAGGTTTGTCTTTGTCAGCCGAATGGCAGAGGATGCATCAGGGATGCTGACAGATGCAGCTTGGAGCCACATGTCCTGTCACTGGATCCCATGGAGAAGAGCTCAGCACCTGCCTCTCCACTTCCCCTCCTCAGGAAGCTGTAGAGAGCGATGAGGTCGCCCCTCAGCCTCCTTTTCTCCAAACTAGACAAGCCCAAAGTCCTCAGCCTCTCCTCCCAGCCCCTTCAGCAGCTTTGTTGCCCTCCTCTGGATGCATTCAAGGACCTTCACATCCTTCTTCAATTATGGGGCCCAAAACTGCACACAGCACTCAAGGTGAGGCTGCACAACGCTGAATACAGTGGGATAATCACCCCTCTTGACTGGCTGGTTATGCTGTGTTTGCTGCACCTAGGATGTGGTTTGCCCTCTTGGCTGCCAGGGCACACTGCTGGCTCCTATTGAGTCTGCTGCCGACCAGCACCCCCTCCCTGTCGCGGGCTGTGCCCCCCAGCCACTCCTCTCCCAGTTTATACTTGTGTGCAGTGTTGCTCTGTCCCAAGTGCAGGATCCTACGTTTAGACTTGTTCAATTTCATGCCACTGATGATGGCCCAATGCTCCAATCTATCTATACCCCTCTTCAAGGTCCCTCAAGAGAGTCAATAGCAGCTCCCAGTTCAGTATCACCAGAAAATTTGCTAAGGGTGCTTCAACTCCTGCCTCCAGATCATTGATAGAGATATTGAACAGCACTGGCCTCAGAATTGAGCCCTGAGGAACACCACTGGTGACCAGTTGCCAGCCACATGTAGCCCCCCTCACCACAACCCTTTGTGCCTTGCGTTCAGCCAGTTCTTAACCCAGCGCACTGTCTACCTGCTCATCCCACAGATGGACAACTTGTCCAGAAGGATGCTGGAGGGACAGTACCAAAAGCCTTACTGAAATCCAGAAAACTACATCCACCACCTTCCCTTCGTCCACTAGGTGAGTGGTGAACTTATTGTGGAAGGGCATTAAATTAAGCAGGACCCATGTTGCCTACATCTGAACATCACACTGTTCTTCAAATGTCTTTCAATAGCACCCAGTATGATCTCCCTAATTCTTCCAGCTACTGAGGTTAGACTAACAGGCTTGTAATTTCCCAGGTCTTCCCTCACACCCTTCTTGTAAATTGGAATAATGCTGGCTAGCTGTCTGTCAGCAGGGACCTCCCCAGACTCCCAAGACCTTTGGTAGGTGACTGAGACGGGTCCAGCTGTAACATCCACTAGCTACTTCAGTAGTCTGGGATGAATCCCATCAGACATCCGAAAACCACGTATGGTTTGGATTTCAGCTCTGTGGCTTGTCTCATGTCTACAGCATGTTCCTAACTAGAAAAACCACAAAATAAAGCTGCATGAAACACGAGTCCAGTTACCCACATCACCCAATTTGCGCTTGTACTGAGATTGGTTATTCATTTGTGGAGATCTGAATTTAGGATCTAGAGATGTTCAAAAAACTTCTTACATAATGATATTCCAGGACTCAGTGAGTGTTTGTGGCAGTACTGATATGGGCAGAGCAGGAGGCAAATCCTAAAATTCTTACTTAATATTTTCTTAGTTTTTACTGAAACAAAACTTCCTGCTGAAGTCAACAGGAACTACCCAGGGAATGCTGGGCAACGCCTATTCTCCACTTACTGATTTTTGCCTTCTATTTCACTGTTTATTTATTTTTAATGAATTTTACTTCTCCCTTTTATTAGCTTGAAACAGCTGACAAGCCACCACCTGAGGCACTAATAAAAACAATGATACTGTTAGGCGGCAATTTGTGGTCTATGACACAGGACCACTTAACTTCACTCAAAACTGCATGATATTGATTAAAAATAAAAT